CACTGATTTATTCACACCGTGAATATAGCGAATATTAACACCGCGAGTTATTTTCCCCCTATACAGTATACAGACTTAATATAGAAATGATTTTATCGACTTTTTCAATCTATCATGAATTTAAAAATGTAAATATAAGCATTTAATTGTAAATATTAAACATTTAGCATCTCATAACCAGAGTTGGAAATTACTGACTGCCCGAGGCAGTCTGTTTTTCAGGTAGGCAGGGACAAACTTTAGATTAACCTCGGTGGTCGGGGTCATTTAAACAGGTAGTTCCTGTTTTCCTCCTTTTTTTTCAGGGTATAGTAAGTCTATAGAAATTAAGTAAAATATAGTATATCAAAGGAACACTTCTAGTTAAAAATATGAGATGACCTATAGGACCAATATTGGTTTCAGTCTTTAGAAAAAGCTTACCGATATATGTTCCGGTCACTGACTTTAGGTCACATGTGTGTAGTTTCTTGTTTCTCATGTCTTGCTTTAGTTCTACATTAATGGTAATCTAAAAACCAAGCTTTATGATAAACGTGATGACTTTAACTTTTCAATCGTCAACTTCCCTTACTTATTCAGCAATATACCTTCATCACCTGCATACGGGGTTTATATCTCTCAGTTGATTCGATACACAAGAGCATCCACTTTTGCCGAATGATACTTCTTGTGCTATTTTACCCGAGAAAAAAATCGAATGAAGTTGTATAGATACCTGTATCCATAGTGATCAAACTAAGAAATTTGCATGCTTGCGTTTGAAATAATACAATAACTATTAACATTAGTTCCTTTAAATTTTAAAATGAAAAAAAGTGTATTTAGGTGGCTTTCAATACCAGTACCATTGTCTTGCATGAATGTTAAAAATGTTTGACACTTTTATTTATGATGACATTTTAACGACACTAAACTCTCCTAACCATCCCGGTTCCTAAAACCAATTTGAAATACATACAAACTTCTCTATGCGGCTTGACTTCGATATAATGATACAAAACGTGGTTATGTTTTACAGTGAGCATCTTTGAGGAATGTTTACCTGGGTAGAACTCACGTGACTACCAGTATTTTAAATAATTTATTCCATGGGTGGGTTCAACATAGGTCATACAGGTAAATAGCTCTTGCTTGTTATAGGAAAAACATTGAACTTTTCATACATTTTTAATATTTTAAGTACAAGCCTAATCATGTACAAATTTCCTACTTTCACACAAGTTTTATAAATGTATAATGCATTTTTTGTCAATCGCACAAGTTTGTACAATGTTAGGCTGACAATAAACAAAAGCTTTGAAATGAATGACCGTCCTCGATTTACTATAAAAAATCACGAATGTGGGCTGACCCCTACCACATTGTATGGCTTTGCTCTTTGTATGTCATGAATTTCAGCGATAAAATTTGTTGAATCTTATGGTTTAGATATCAATTAATGATCTTAGATGGAAAATTATGCTTAAATTAATTCCTCATTTTGTCACATTTTACCGGGGCCCATAAGTGCACTCGTTCTTTAGTGTTTATACAGGTAAAAAGTTTGAAAAAATAAAAATATGCCAACAAATGGTTTCGAACCAGGACACTAAAAATGTTCATGGTGAGAGTCTGCGGTCTTAATCGTTCTGGGCTATGCTGACTATGAGGACATTTGTAATAAATATAAACCAGTATGATAGAAATAGGTTTTCACGTTTTTTGTAGTTTTTTTTCTATGAATTTCGACCCTAGGCACCTCTAAAAGAACTTTGTTTTAAATAATTGCTTACTAGATCAAAATCTATCAAAATTTCATAATTTAATTTAGGGGCAGGCAAAGGGTGATTATATTGCATCCATCGGGTATAATTTTCTTATCAGAAAATTGTAGAGATATGCAAGGTTAATTAATGACAACATTTATTTTTCCTTTTTGCCTAATACTTTTATGATTTTCACAAATAAATTGATTATTGAAAAAAAGCCTTTAATATGACTGCTGATTTTATCTCCATCTGTTAATTTTCAACACCTTTTCTCATGATTATAGTAGATAGAGAACAGATTATGATTTCTAACATTTACTAGCTTTTTACAGATCATTTCCTTGAGATAGGTGGAACCAACAGTCAAATACAGACACTTTTTAGAAAAGTAAAAATCTGGCTCAGGTTAAAAAAAAAAAAAAAATTATTTACAGTTTTAACAATTAGTAATTTTACCTTAATTAACTGGAAAAATCTTATTTGACGAAATACAGGTCAAGAATGAAGAGTTTAAAGCCTAGTAGGGATTTTGGTCACGCAGGTAGGTTAGGCTTCCCGTAGAATATCACAGTGCACTCTGTGCCTTCACATCTCTGAACTACCAAAATATGACGTCATAATGGAAAATGACGTCAAGTCACTGAAATCTTAAGGTGTTATGACGGGGAGAGTGTCATGAACTTTACACTTTATTTGAAACTGCATGTAAAATGCAGGTAAGGTAGCTATTGCAAAATTCACGGGTCGTTAAAGGTTTTTTTAAGTCGTATATGTCAGAATATTTTAAAAATACACCGCTTACCTACCCTTGATTGAAATTCAGCATGTTCAAAATGCTTATGAAAAATATACTTTTGAAATGTACTCTGTTTTATACCCGTGGTTGGAGGTAGAATTTATTTAGTGTTTATAAAAGAGTCTGGCGCAAGTGAAGAATGAGGATTAATCTGAGAATTTTTGTTGAAATCTGTAAGAAGAGGTTGTTCTCTAACTGAATCTTGCTTGGGAAAAATGTGTGTTGGCTTTGTTTTAATACAGATTACGATATTGTGTGGAAAATACCCTCAAATTTGTAGGTAAGTTGAATTTCTCTGGAAATATTTTGTATCTAAGTAATACTATGACTTTTCCCAAGCACATTTCGGATACACAAGGATACGATGAGCTTATTTTTATAACAAAATGTTAATAATTATTGTGTAAATCAACTGCGCCGAAGCGATTTATATGAAACACTTCAAAAAATTATAAATGACCGTCACGTGATCAGCAAAGTCATGTGATATCATAACAAATATGTTAATACATAGCCGAGGAAATCCTCTATATAAATTGGAAGTACTTAAGTTCAATACTTTTAAATTAAAACTAAAACCAACCTCGCAATGACATATTATGTTTTGAGCCCATTTTAAAGCTTCGGGAAGCCTAAACATAGCTGCGCAATCATTACAGGTAATCTGCAGGCCCTCTCGAGAATTTTACACTCATATGGAGACGCCACCACTTGCCAGTGGAAAGCTGCAAATTCTGTCCTATACTCTGCACTCATGGCCATTGAGCAGTGAGGGGTCTTTTTCATGCCAGCACCTACTGTGACATGGGACCTTGGTTTACAAGGTCTCATCCGAAGGACTGGTCTCCATGTCCCACATTCAAACCTGCGACATAAGGATCAACTCCTTACTTCGCGACTCTAGAGCAGACGCTCTAACCATGGCGCCACGCTTGTGACTAGCTCAGTTTTAAAGAAATCATTCAAGATATTTTTTATCAAACTTAATATGCTGATACATATATAATTAGTAAGACCTATTCAACTATTTCAAAAACTTTTGACCTTTCCTGTGACCTTGACCTCACTTTCCTTCAATTTGCATTTTGCATGGTTTTAAAACCATTTAAAATATTGATATCTAAGGCTATGCATCTATACATAATTTGGTGAGAATTTATCATCTATATCCATTTTTTTTAGATTTCAATTTCAATTTTAAAGAAACTTTTCAAGATATTCTCATCAAACTTCATACACTAACACAAAATTTCATGTTGCATTACTATACACTCGGCAGGCATACATGTCCTATGGACATATTTCTAGTGTATTGCTATTTCTGTTGTTTGTTTACTTCCGGTCAGTAAGTGCCCCCTAGGGGCAAGCCCCAGTCCTGTTTTCTTTTCCAGGGTTGCAACAGCGCCCCCTAGAAAAACAAGTTGCACCATCCAATCAAATCGTGTTTTGTGCTGCTTTATGCCAAAGAAATTAAGGCTGGACAGCATATGTATTATATTCTGACCAATAGGGTTGCCGTATTTTCAAATAATTAGGATAGACTTACCACTTCAGCATTCCTTTCATCACTGAAGTGATATACATGGTCAAAAATTGACTAACTTTCATTTTTGTGTCAACTGCAGAGCAGAACGACACGTAGAGATCACTTTACCTGGTGTCTGTCTGTCCGTCTGTCACACCTTATATCTCCAAAATTTTGAGAGGCAGGGTTTTGATAATAAGCATTTATATATGTTTTTGAGCTCATGATACTATACTTTGAAACTGTATGAAATTCAGTTACCACACAAACTTATATTTAAATACTATGAAAATACATTGGGATCAGTATTCCACAAAGAATCGTGTTGACTGACAAAGTGACAATTAAAGTAAAGACAGTCTGAAATTCCTTTCCTCCGAGGATTGTTGGAAGCACCTACATGTGTATTAATAAAATGATAAATAGTTATTCCTCATAATTTCAATTAAATTATTCATTTGAGGACTGGGGAACCATATTTTCTTTGATTGCCAGATTCTATCCCAGTCTTTTACTTTTGGATCCTTTTTTCCTTGCAGGCAAATGGATGAACCTCCATGCTAATATTAAATTAATAGCTGACCACTCTTAGATTTATTTACCTCTTTAATGACGATACCTAGCAGGTGACATATACATTCCTTGAAACACTCTAGTTCCTATTTGATTTTCACTAATATAAAGATTATTGAAAAAAGACTAAGGTGCTCTATAGTGATCAGTCTATTCATTCATCTGTCTGTCAAATACATATATCCCATGTTCAGAGTACAGGTGACTCTAAATACTTCAAACTTTATATTTTTTAATTAGATACATGTAGCTGCTTTGGAACATCTGAAAGGTCTATTACATTATCACTAGTTTTACTAGTTTTCTTCATGTAAGTTGAATATATTTTAAACTTTTAAATTTTTATTTTTTCCAGGTAAGAAAGAAATTCAGGAGTTCTTAAATTGCCCTTGGAGTTCTTGGATTGCATCAAACTGCTAAAAGACCTCAACAAAAACAGCGTCTTGAAAATAAAAATGAAAATATTCAGTGAAAAAAAAAATGATGAAAGAGCCACTAAAAATCTTCAAGCCTTTGAGCTGAAATCTGGAAGTCAATATGTGGACTTTACTAGTATGTCATAATTACTAAGTCATCATTTGTGTATACTAAATACACTAAACTGTAAACACTTGTTAAAATGTGTATAATTTTTAGATATAATTTGTAGCTCACAGACTTCAATAGTTTCATGTAATGTAAGTAATAATGAAAATTTCCTGTTGTCTAGCTAGATTAGAAACTATTATTGTCCAATTTTGGATATTGTGAAATAATTCATCTAGTATGCATACATGTGTGTACACTTACGTGTAAATTAATTGTTATAGCAAATTCAATCGATCATTAAGTTGAATGTTGACTAATGTTTTTCATCAAAATTGTTTACACTGAATTGTTTGTGGATATTTCCATTTGCCCAGTCATGTCAAGGAGCACATGGCAGGAAATGCTTTCTCCTCCATTGCACCTGGTGTTTTTAGAGGTCTGTGTTTGCTCTGCTCTAATTATGAATTGTTTCAATGGACTTTAAAGCTTGATCACTGTTGGTAATCTTCATATTTCATATACTATTAGAGTACTTAAAACTGTAAAGATTTAACATACAGTATAATGCATGTATATTACACTTTAAGTACAGTGTATGTGGTTAAGAAATGTTAAATCGTCTCATAGTGCATTGAATTTGTTGAAAATTAGAAAATGTGTTGAATTTTTTTTTAAATAATGTTAGATTGCAGATTTTTTTTAAATCATGCAAGTAAGAAATAGCTAAATATTTTTTAGCTTTTCTGGACAGTCTAGATGAGTTCTTATTATATACCTAGCATTGTCATCCCAGTTAAAATTTAAGGAGCAAGGTTCATTCCTAAGCTCTACCTGGACAAACTTGCATGGATTAAAGCACATTAACAGATTTACTTCAGATGCTTGACCTGATCTACATTTTCTTCATGGTTTTTTTGTTTTTGTTTGTTTGTTGTTTAACATCCCTCTCAAGAATTTTTCATCGATATGGAGATGCCACTACTTGCTGGTGGAGAGCTGCAAAATTTGACCTATACTTTGCACTCAGGGCCTTGAGCAGTAAGGGATCTTTTTTGTGCCCACATCAACTGCAAGGCGGAACCTCGGTTTATATGGTCTAATCTGAAGGACTGGTCCCCCTATCCCCAGTGGATTTGAACCTGAGACTTAAGGATTAAATCCTTACTCGCGACTCTAGATTACAAACTCTATCCTTTGCGCCACATGGGGGACTCCACAAGATTAAGTGTTTTGAGCAGTCCTATTCTCATGTAATTATAAACTCTATGTTGAACAAACCTGCAAAGATGATGTATTTACATGTAAATGTTTCAGGGTACCAATCCTTGATTTGACTTAGATTTTCTGGATTAATGACCATTTTTTTAGAGAAGGTTCATTCAAAGTAACAATATACTCTTTGGTGATCAGTAAACATAGATGATGTATCCAGCTTCTGATGCTGGATGTAACATACATTTTCAGGGTTATTAACCCAGACCAACTTGCATAGATTTTGGATGCAGGTGATATACATTACCAGAGTGTTTGTTGAGTGAGACTTTACCTTACTAGTAGATAACATTTATAGAAGTGAGCTTTGTATTCTTTGATTAGGTATGTTTTTTCTTTGCTCAGGATATATATACCATCAGTGCCAACTACCATACATTTTATATAATAGATGTAGCTGTTGTTCAACTGAATATGATAAAACTGTGGATGAAAATAATTTGATTTTTGTACCTTTGAATGTATTGAATTCATTTGTAAAAGCTGTTATGATACAATGTTTGATATTTTATAAAAGTTTTTAGCATATGCAATCAATAAATGTATCAACATTTTTATTTTATTATACTTTTTACCCTGCAAACTTCTTAAAAACAGAATAGTAATGATCCATTTAACTGATACTAGGTTAGTGTCACATTGTACTGGTATATCATGCATACTGAACTGTAAATAAGAAACATCTAAATAGGTAAAATCACAGCATGAATCATTGGATTATGTAAGAAGTGCACTATCTTGTGCTTTGGTATGGTATTAATAATAAATGTTAAACTATCATTTTTTTTTCAAATTAACAAAGGATATGCTTGAGTGACTGTGTTTTGACTAGCAGTAAAAATAAAATGATTTTTAAGCATTTGAATTATTTTGATCCATGGTCTCTGCAAGTTTAATGATAGCAAATATGTATATTGAACATGGCATCCACATATTGCTATACTGGATGGGGCATAACTTTTACTGAATCTTAATCACAACCTTGAAATTTTATGTAGTACATGTACTCTTGGTTTCAACTGGTCAAATGTATTCTTAAATCAGAAAGAATTTAAACAAATATAGGCATAGGTCAGAACTTCATCAATTAGTTGGAAAGCGAATGCACTCAGTGACTATATGGTTTAAAAGAAGCTTGGTATAAATAGCGGGAAAAACTACTTGAAGTCCACTGTGAACTTTGTGTCCTCAACAAAACAATATGGAGTATACTATACTTGGTCTAAAGAATAATCTATGTCTGCATTCACTTTTAGGTTAAACTGTTTTGGGCATTGAGAGTTTGTTTGTTGTTTAACGTCCCTCTGGAGAATTTTTCACTCATATGGAGAGCTGCAAATGAGCTATGCTCGGCACTCAGGGCCAATGGGCAGTGAGGGATCTTTTTCATGCCAGCATCTACTGCGACACTGGACCTCTGTTTGTACGAAGGACCGGTCTCTACGTCCCACAGTGGGATTCAAACACGTGAGAAAAGGATCAACTAACTCCACGACTCTAGAGCATTGGCTCTTTCCACTGCACCACGTGGGCGACAGCAATGAGAGTTAAATGTGGATATCAGAACAAGCTACTCTGGGCTTATACTCTCTATATATTGATTGATTGTATGTTGTTTAACATTCCTCTCAAGATTTTTTCACTCAAATGGAGACACCACCACATGCCGGTGGAGATCTGCAAATTTTGTCCTATATCAGCACTTACAACCATTGAGCATCGAGGGATTTTTTCGTGCCAGCACCTACTGCGATACAGGACCTCGATTTATACGGTCTCATCTGAAGGACCAGTCTCCCCATCCCACAGTGGGATTTGAACCTGCGACGTAAGGATCAACTCCTTACTTCGCTACTCTAGAGCAGACGCTCTAACCACTGCGCCACTGGGGCAACTACTCTCTATTTAAGTCACTTGTGCAATGACTTTAGTTTAATTCAACGTTTTGTACTGATCATGTTGAGTCACATTAGCACAAATATCTTTCTGCTGGCCTTGACTAATGACCATCCGCAATTATTCTGGTTGGAAACAATATGTTAATTAATGCATAATAAGTGAAATTACTATGAAAGAAAAATGGTCTACTTAAACCACAAGTTATATTTATAAAAAAATATACACTGGTCTCCTTAAGTCATATGAGAGAAACATAAAATATTAAGGAGACCATTTTTTTCATATATTTTTAGGAGGCATTTATTGTGAAAAAATAAAGCAAGAGTCGACTAAATGGTGTTTTATAGATCTTTGCTCTGGTATTTCTTTTTAGAAAAAAGCAAATTTAAAAAATTTGTATATTGTCTCCTTAAGCCATATATAATGGTCTGGTCTCCCTAGTCCTTAAATCAGAGTTATATATATATATATATATATATATATATATATATATATATATATATATATATATATATATATATACATACATATATATATATATATATATATATATATATATATATATATATATATATATATATATATATATATATATATATATATATATATATATATATATATATATATATAAGTTAGTATTTGACAAACAGTAAAAGCTGAAAAACTAAATGAAAAAGAAATAAATAAATGCTTATATAAGAAGAATCACCCAAATAGATAGTGATTGGTCATCATGTTTACTATATAAATAAAGTAATACAAGAAAACTGGATGTGCCTGCTTAGTTTTAACAGCTGTTTAAAATAAAAACAGAAAAAATCTGGAATCATCAAAGTTGGGTACTTAATATACAGAATTTCGATCCCGATCATAATTATCTCCAAAACTATTTTAGAGAAATAAAATTAATTCCAGAGTAAATTTGGTACATTGAATAGAAAAATTCATAATAATGTGATAAATGTAATTAAGAAACAATTCAATATAAGTTAAATTTTACACACAATCACTTAGATTTAGGAAAAATCTTGTCAAACTTCAAGCAATTTTACAAAATTTCTCAACAGTTTTCCTTTTCATTAAAAACTGCTAATTGATTTTTCACACTTTTAAACTGGAAAACTAATAATGAGCATTTGTTTTATTTTTCCATGTGTAATAAGCTACATAATGTGTTTGCTGTTTTTAATAATATTGTTTTAATTCACAATGTTTGTGACATCTTAAATGTCTTGACATATAATTACAATGGTTACTATGGATACAACCTAGATATCAACTCCATGACAACTAATACAAGAAGGATACAGACTCATCTCAAAATAAAATAGGGTTAGATAATTTATGAAAAACAATAACACTTGTTACTTCTGTACTGAACTTCCTCTTTTTTGGTTGACATTTTGGCCCATAAATGCCCAAATCTATTTATAGTAACATATCACAGCCTGGATGTGCCTCTTTGGAAAAATCATGTTTTATTTTAATTACTACTGTATCAAGTAATAATATAAAAAAAATATTGGCCGAATATGAAATATTCGACTTATCACCGATTGCCTGATTCTTACGTGGACCTGTACTTAAACAGCATGTATATAATTATCACAATAATTGTACGTGGAGGTCACATTTTTAATTGTCAGGAAGATTGAAAATAAAATTAAGTACTTTTGAGTTTGTATTATTTTCCACCTAACCTACACTTTTATTGCATACAAAATACAAGGTCGGACGCAAATTAACTAAATATTTCACTTGTATTTGAAAATTCTATCGAGCGTTGAATGAATTCTACCCATTAAGTGTACAAAAAAAACTTCCTATGTCGTTTTCT